TATTATTATTATTATTTTTATTTTTAATAAAATGCTGAAGTGGTAGGTAGATGCAAGATAAAGGTAGAAAACATAGTTTAGTGCTGTAAGAAGGCAAATGTAGATGATCAGATGATCAGGTGTGTGCCTATGGACTAAGTATTAATCCAGGCTAGACAAGGGCAGCAAGACATCCACGGATGCAGAAGATTTCTCTCAAAGCAGGGGGGGTACAGACACTTTACTTTTTAAGAGAAGTGGCTTCTTTTCGTGGTAATGCTGAAAGTCTCACTGCCAGCCATGAAGCTGTGGCACTAATGCCCACCCAGGATGCAACTTCATCAGCTGTGATGCTGTGACACTAACCCCTACCTGGGATGCGATTTCATTAGCCTTATCTGAAAATAAATAGACAAGACCCAGACACAGAAATACTTGCTCTGACCTGGCTAAACCACTCAAGCATTTACTTTCCTTGGTTGGCATATTTTTCTCCTGCCATTCTGTAGGCCATTTCAATTCCTTTGGCTATTTTCCTTTCTATCTTGCTCCTATTTTCACAGAACATGTAGAATATTGATCAGGAAACTCTCTGTATTCCCTCACCATTTTTACTTTTGGCTTTTCTTTCGTACTCACTAGGTTTTAGCTCTGGAAAAATTGTGAGCTCAGTATATTTTCTCTTTAACACCATATGGCCAGAACTCAAAGGAAGTACAATGGAAACGGCACGCTTAACAGGACATGAACCTTCTGATACCAGCAGCGCCGGGAAGACCAGTGTGGTGCGGGACCTGCAAGTACAGTACTGCCAAGCCATGAACATTAAGTGCAGAATGGCAAAACTGATGTCAGATGTCAAAGAAAGGGCTGATTTTAATAATCTTAATAACCAACTCAAAAACAAAATCCCTTTTTTAAGAAGGAATCTAATGACTTTGAGGTAGATGGTGCTGTTATCAGATGAAGTAATTGGTATAAGAAATAAAAATAACAAAACTGAGAGAAAGTAAGCACTGACTTGGAATTACCTTCCTGTTTACTCAGATGGAAAATTAAGAACACTTGCGAACAAAGTTCTAAGCACACAGTGCAGGGGCGCCAGTCCTGGACTTGCTTCTGTGAGTGGGATGAGCCGGGAGGCTGACGGGAGGAGCCACACTCTACCAGAGCGGCGAACTACAGAATGGCTGTCCCTGGGAAGAAGCCAATGTTTTCCCGAATGTTCAGGATTAGGATCCCTGAGTCTTCTTCAGCATTTAACTAATTCTTTGCTGCTGGAAGGGGCTGGAACTGTTTCTCCACACATAAACTGATCCTATGGTAGAACAAAAAATTATATTAATCACTGTGTGTCACAGATGCATCAAAATTAACTGCAACCATAAACTTAAAAATGTATCAGTTTTAGTCCTGAATTCATATTTAATGTAAAGCACCTTATCTTACAAACAATGCCCATCTTCACCACAAAGCATCCACATCTCAAAATTCACATTTCTACAGACATGTCATACCTTTTCAGTTTCTCTATTACCATTTACATTAAAACTTCTCCACTTCAAATACCTAACCACTCCAAAGTAATTATTTCTTCCAACTAAAAAGGACAGTCTATTCCGTGTTTCCCAACAATGACAATATATAATGTTAGCTACTTTGTAAATACCTGATCTCTGATTACTTCTCCTGGTTTATGTCAGCTACTACAGGAATCTCTGCCTCCTAGGTTACCCCTCGTCTCCTGCAGTCTGATGCCCATAAGGATGAGCCTGGGTTCTGCCCCATTGCCTTCCCACTCCTGCCCAGCACCTGGAACCCTCCTACACTGGGCTCTTTGGAATTTATGGTCCATCACTGACACAATGCTCCATATTGTCAACCTTTTCTTTAAAATGTCCCTGTGCCTTCTTGTTGTAACACAGTGGTTCTCAAGGTGGGGAGGGGGAAGATGTTGCTTTTGTCTCCAGGGAATATTTGGCAATGTCTGGAGATATTTTGGGTTGATGCAACTAGGGGGTATCTAGCTTCCAGTCAGTAGAGGCCAAGGATGCTACTAAATATTCTACAGTGCAGAGGACAGCTCTGTAACAAAGAACTATTCAGTGCCAGATGTCCATGACGCTGAAGTTGAGAAGAGGCTGGCCCCTAAGGACACCGTTTCCCCTGGAGCCTTTTCAAGAAGTGGCTGTGTTCTCCCAGAGCCCCAGTACCACAGACTGGAGGAGGGGCTCGTTGCTCCTTCTGCCCTTGTTCTCCTTCCCTCACTAAAAGCCCTCAAGTTTGAACTTTACGTGATGAGACTGTATCTTCACTACTCCTCTCTGTCGCTGTCATTTACCTGCAAGGATCCCTCATTCCAGCCACTCTGGGACTTCCACTGTATTTATCCTATACCTTTTCACTGCCCCTTAATGTTTACCTAGTTTAAATTCCATGGCCAATTGTAACTGCTTGCCTCTCACTCCTTCCTATTCTCTGAGCAATATCCCAGCCCTAGTTTAATCTAACTTCCTGTGTCAACATTCTTCCGTGTAGCTGAATGTCTACCACCTCAAACCCTCTCTTGGTCCTCTTATCACCACCAGTTTCTGCCTCATGTCTTTGCTGCCCTTTGCAGCAAACTCTTAGAAAGAAATGTCTGCGCTTGCTGCCTCCTAGTCTTCTCTCATTGCCTTCAACAAGTTTCCACCACTCAGGTTCTGTCTTTGTCACTCCAGTGAAGCTGCTCTTATCACCATTGCAGATGACCTCCCTGTTGGAGGCAATGATGAATTTGCATCCGTGGGGTCTGACAAAGCCGATCACTTCCATCACCTCTCCTCACTGGCTTCCAAGATGTGGCGCTGGTGGTTTCCTCCTCCCTTAGTGGTTCCTCCTTTCCAGCCAGCTTTGCTGGTTCCTTGCTTCCCTCTGTCACCTTTTAACATTGGAGTGCCCCAAGGCTCCGTCCTTTCTTTTGTCCACCTGCATGCACAGACCTGGTGATCTCATCCAATCTCCTGGCTCTAAGTGCTATCTGTATGCTGGTAACGCCCCCATTTACAGCACCAGCCAATCTTTGCATGAACTCCAGGCTTCCATATCCAAATGCCTTCTCACTTACTCCACTCAGATGAAAAACAGGCATCTCGAACATAGTATGCCCAACCCCTGCCCCTATACCTGCATCACCAGCCTTCAGTTGATCCATTCTTTCAGTTATGAGGGCCACAAATGCTGAAATCTTCCTCCACTCCTCTCATATCCCATAGCCAATATGTAAGACAATCCTATCCTTTAAGATGTATCCAGAATACAACCACTTCTTACTACCACCACTGATGCAGCCTGGTCCAAGCCACTGATCTCCTCCTTTGATTAGTCTAACTGGCTCCAATCTGGTTTTCCTGCCTTTATTCTTGCTCTCTCAGTCTACTCTGAATACAGTAACCAGAATCACTCCTTTAAAACTTAAGTTGGATCATGGCTCTCCTTTGTTCAAGAATCCCCCAGTGGTTCCCTATATCCTTCACAGCCAAAGCCAAAGTCCTTAAAGTGGTCCACAAACACCTCTGTGATCTGCCCCATTCCACAAATTTCATCTTGGACTGGTGACTACTGTCCCCTCAATTGCTCTGCTCTGGTCACACTGGCCGCCCTGCTGTTCCTCAAAACAAACAAACAAACAAAAAAACAAACAAACTAGGCCTATTCCTGCCTTAGGGCTTCTTCAATGGAAGTTCATGTTGCCAGACTGTTCTCACCCCCCATATGTACAGGGCTCGCTTCCTCACCTCTTTCAGTCTTTGCTCAATAAGGCTTGTCATGATCACCCTATTTAAAACTGCAACCTCTTCTCATACCAGCACTCCTGATCTCTCTTACCCTGTTCTCTTTTTGGTCCAGAACACATTTTAATACAAGAATAAATCAGTAAACTTCTAAATCATAGCCTGTTTCTCCCATGAGGCTAAATGCCTTGTTACCACCTTCCCCATACTCATTTTACAGTCCATCGTTAAGAATGTTAAGCTCTATTATAGGTCAGTTCTATCTCAAAAAAAGAAAGAAGAATGTTAGGCTTCTTACTTAAGACTCTATTCAAAGTACTGAACAAAAGTTGGAGAGGGGGTGGGCAATAATAACATTTATTTTGTTTACTATTGTCAATATTTTGGGGTGAAAAACAATAGGACAACTAAAGACTAAATAAAACGAAGTTGTAAAATTTCAACTACGTCTTACATCTTAAACAAGTTAATGCAGAGTTCTCTGTATAAGCCAGGTGAGAAAAACTACATGATTGTTCCCTTCAAAATAAATCTAGGAGCTCTGAATAATTTTAATTACTTATTAAATAAAGGAGGACTAAAGGCTATCAGTTAAATAACCTTTGTAATTATTTTTCTTCCATTCAGTAAGTAACAACAATTTTCATTAAATATAGAGCTGTTTATTGCCCTTTCTCCAAGGCTAAAGTGGCTTAAACTTTTTAAATTTCAACTTACGATATGGCTGTTTATTAATAGTTTTCAAAATTACTTTAAAAGACAGCCTTTATTTAACACTGTTGGGAAGTATTCTCCTGTGCTTATGTATCATAGAGACCACTCTAGGTCCTTGCGTCGAAACCCTCCCTCCCCGCGCCGTTGTAAATTCAACCCCTTACTTTGTCATAAATCACTTTTATAATGAGAGAGCAGCTAGGACACGTTGCCACGTCTTCCCCATTCTCCAGATCTTCCTGTAACAAAATCGAACACCGTATGGTCAGCAGTTTTCCCTTTGCGATCTCCTCCCAAGCCCCGCCACCCCCCGTGGACAAGCTCCTTTGTGGCCTGCTTCCCCACAAGGCACGTGAGGGCCAAAGAGCCCAGTCTTCCCTTAAAGTGTCACTTCCAATCCCCAGGAATGTTCAGTGGGTACAAACCCTTGGGAAGACGAAAAGGCGTCCCTTCCTCCATTAGTATCCCAGGAAGAGGGACCCAAAGGCGGGATGACTGAGATGACGCTGACGCTCCCGCCAGCCACCCACGCCTCCCGCCATCCCTAGTACCCGCTACAGGGCAGAACCAGGTGCCTACTGACAGCTCGAGTGTCAACAGGTGGAGGTGGGGCGGGATTCAGAAACAGGATGAGGAGGGAATTCGGTGCCGCACCGCTACGGAACGGCGGAAGGAACACCACAGGGCGGAAACGCGCCTGCTCCGGGGAGGCGCGCAGTAGCACTCCGTAGTTACCTTGGTGATACAGAAGTTATCTCCACACGGGCACGGGTAGAAATAGGTCTCCGAGTCCTCGTCATATTGGAAGTCCTCGATCTCCACTTCGTCGTGAAACACCGCCATGTCACTGGGTCCAGCGGAGGCCTGTCACCCCGCCGTCCGACTACTTCCCTGGATGGTGTAACTTCGCGGGCGCCTGCCCCCGCCGGGCGTTGTCACCACGCACCGGTTCAGGAACGATCGCTTCCGGCGCACACAACTGCGCAACTCCTGGCATAGCGCCAATTGGATAACCGGGTATCAGTCACCATGGAGATAGTTGAGCTAGGGGGC